GAACTACTTATTTTTGTGTCTTCAGTGCTAAGGCCTATGCACTTCAGAATTAAGCGCATAGAACTCCAGGGCTTTGTGAAGCAACCTATCAATCAGCTATTGTCACCACTTATTTATCAGTATTTTTCTCAGCCTCAAATTGCCTACTTTTCTGCAGGTATCCAACTCAGGAAATCCAGTCTTTGCACTGTACTAAAGTAGCATTTTAATGCACCAATAATGCATGAAATTGTTGTCATTGTACAGTGGAAAAAACTTCTGGAAAAGAATAAAATCTTGCCCTATGCATTTCTCATTTCTAACAGTCTGCTTTTGAAAGTACAAGCATTGTTGAGCAGTATAAGATGAAAAATACAGCTGTAATAATTGAACACTAAAACCTTGATTCTTTGTGATGACATTGCTGATGAGTTTACATAAATTCCTGTTTTCATTGCACTCATGAAGATCGTGATGCAAGTCCAAGAGAAACCTGAACTGAAAATCATAAACATTTCCTTGTTCTATTATTCTTGATGTAATGTTTACTTTTTCACTAATGATATCAACTCCTCCAGTTTCAGTTAGGACAGATCTCACCCAATAACCACAACCTCTGGGCTTCACTGGAGGATCAAAGGAACCAAATAGGGTCACATCTCTAGTTCCAAAAGATTCTGGCCCCTGAGCAGACCAAACATTTACATTTGTCCTACCTAGTGCTAGCCTGATACAAAGTGAAACCACAGTGAAACCTCTAGACTAAGATAGTCATACAGTTTGTTTTCAGTAAAGAGAGAGAATTTTTTATAGCAAATCTTTCCATCTCTTCTATGATGCCTTGGATCACTTTTGAAACCACCTTTCTTATTAGTCAAAGGAGAGAATTTTGATGACAACTCCAAATGGACATCTAGCTAAGCTAAGGAAATTTATTATTATTTTTTTTTTTCCTTGGGTTACAACAACTTATTCCTGCCAGGACAGATAAGGAAAGGAATAAGTTACTGGGCACATCTTCTCAGCTGCAAGCCTGGAAAAAATGGTACTGAAGCTACTCGTTGGAAGGAAGGGCATTTTACAGCCTGGTTACTTCCAGGTTTATTCCATGGCAATATTGACAGAAAAAAAAATAAAATAAAATAAAAAAATACTGGGGTCTGCTAAGACAGAGAAGGAGAAGATATTTCACTGTTGTCAGAGTGTTGAAATACAGAGAAGAATCTGATGTCAGGCCATATGTAAGCAGAATTAATTAAAGTTATGTACCTTTTTAAACTTTAAGTCTATCTAAATAATAAGTAAATGCACGTTTCTGTTAACCTTTCCTTTGGCCAGCTGCAGCTGTTTTACCAAAGCAGATTATCTGCCAAAGGAAATGGACTGCGGAAACTCCCTCCTAAACAGTAGGTTTAAAATCATGGAGAAAAAAAAAAAAAAAAAAAAAAAAAAAGGCTGATTAAAAGGCTGATGCTTAGATGAAGTCTCTCTTTAGGGTCTGCTTCCTTAGACTGAAGGGGCTACAGAAATCCAAGTGCAAAACCCAGGTGCCCACAAAGGCAAGTGCTCCTTGCCTGTTCTGATAGCATGGTCCCTTTCTACCCATGACTACTGCAAGGGTGTCAGAGAGGAGCTCTGCCAAAAAAAAAAATAAATAAATGAGGTTGACTGGCTCTCTTATCTCCTCCTCTGTCATTGAATTTGATCTCACATTTTGGAAAGTTAAGCATAATCCCCCTGATTTAAGCAGGATAGATGAACTCCATTCAAGAGAACTGTAGGTGAGTCTTAAATATCTCCTTTTCCCAAGTTAGCTTGGTAAAACATAAAAGAGTGTAAAGTCCATTTATTTAAGTAAGAAGTGTTTCCTTGGTTATAGATGTTGCAGCTGTCTTGAAACTACCTAGAAATTAACTGTTCAAAATTTGGATGACATTAATTAGCCCTTCAGAAAGGAAATGTGTAATCTAGTGCCACAACCATGAATGGCAAGTTTCATGCACAGCAATTTACACAGGGCTGCAGCTGCAAACATAAAAACATGAGTGCATGTACAACACATACATTTTTCTACAACAAACAAACATTCAGGTTTCATATTTTAAGCCTTTGAACCTCATCAAGACACGCAAGAAGCAGAGACATCAAAACACCTTAGATAGCTCAAAGTGTTGTAGCTATTTAAACTGATTTCAAGAGCCTGTTAAATGTCTTCTGAAATTACCTAATGATATATTGCATACTTAAAAATCACAGCTGAAGATGGGTCACCTTCTTGTCCTGGTATACATGGAGCCACTCAGGGACATTGTGTTATTTCTAAAGGCCTTCATGGGCTTTTAGAAGACCCTTGTAGCAAGCAAAGACAGGGAAGAGCAGTCCATGGGCAATGGACGAGCTTGTTCTACTGTTTTGTTTCCTTTTGGATGTTTGATGTTTCTGGCTTTTTTGTCATTGGGACATTTCAGTGAAAATATCTTTGTGCCATGGTAATCTGTGAAGATGTAAGGGCTGGGGCAAGAATTCTGCCCACGGTGATTTGGGCAAGATAAAATCAGAAGTGCTGCTAAACTCTCTTAATTATTTTTCCAGAGTCATCAAGACTTTTTCTGGCATAAAGCTGCATAGAGTTCTGGAAAGTGTGAATATTTGGAAACGGTAAAATCACTGAAAACTGCGGTCTTCTGGTTCAAGTAATGATTTTTATTTTAATTAAATAAAATTAAAAATTTAAAAGTAAAATAAGGATTTTACTTCATCTGCAATTATGATTTTCATATAACAATATGAATCCAGCTGCTAGAACTTTAAAACTAACATCAAGAAATACTACATCCAATACAAGAAGAATAAAGATTTAAAAAAGTTATCCAAGTCAGTTCACAACATGCTACTTCGGTTACCCTGGAGAATTTTCTTGGTAAGAATGTGCCAGACAAAAATTTTCCAAAGAAGAGATGTCTCTGCTGGATATTTGCAATTTTTTCATGACTGATTCACCAGGAAAATCTGTTTAATTAAGTTTCTGTGCAAAACTCTGAATTATTATCTAGTCCAGGAAGGACATTATGATTGTATTGTAATAAGCTGTCAAAAAGTAATTTTTCCTGAACTCAGAAATTCCAGGCAGTTCTAGATTTTAAGCCTAATTTTACAAAAATCTTCAGAATGTCCCTATTTGAGTTAGGCTGTTCAACACACAAAATCTCCACCATTGGCATTTCAAATCAATTTAATGTAAAAATTAATTAAATGTGGCACCTTTATCTTGTCATATAGAAACCAAGTCAAGGAAGGTATATAAATCAGTATGAATACAAATCAGATAAGGACCAATCCTTCCCATTACATTATTTTTGCACCTATGCAAACTGTTGAAATTCAGCAGAGTTAAATTAGTCTATGACATAATACAATGAAGAATGAAATTGTCCTCCAGAAGCTCTGAATATAAACAGTCTGGTGTCTGCTTTCCTATTCTTTACAGGTCTGGGTTGTGCCTTATCTGGTATTGTTGCCATGAATTGCTTTACTGCTAGGATTCAAGGTCCAAAGCAATAACATTGAACAGAAGCAGATATTCAAATCAGGTAAAATCCACCAGGGAGCTGAGCCTTCAGCTCCAGCAATTTCTTCTGCTTCCTCGAACATTCAAGGCTGCATTTCCTTCTTTTCGGAGTTCAAGGAAGAAATTAACTTGGTAAGAAGTCAAGGCATGACAAGACCTTCCTATGACAAGCTAGAAGACTCCCAAACTGTGCTGACCTGCTGAGAGCCCACCACAGCTGCACTGCTGCCCATGTGCATGATGACATGTCTCTATCATGCTCACCGGGCAGTTCTCAGGTGATTATGGCTCATGCAAATGCTAAACTGGCTAGTGCTATGTTTTCAAAGGTGACAAAGGAAGAGGGCCTCCTTCCTGCAGTATATTTCTTGTGAGGTAGCAAAGGTTGTTTGCTCTATCATGCCACCTGGAAAAGGCTTCTGGAGACTGAGCATGACCTTGTACGTTAATGACGGTTTGTCAGAGCATTGAACTATGAACTGTAAAAACAAACACACACATGCATGCAAACCCATGCCTTGCATTTCCAGGCTTCAAAAAGACAGAGAGCATTTAATGATTAAAAGAGGAAACTTCTGAGATTAAACTGCATTTATTGAAAGAATTACCCAAAGAAGGAAATCACAGATAAGTAGTGAAATGTTTCCAACTATCCCCATCACCCTCTCTTTGCCTAACATATACAACCTGATATTTGCAAGCACTTCTAAGAACATGGAGCTGCACTTTTTAGGGCAGCAAACCCGGAAATACCAGCAAACACTTTTTACCTGCCCGCTTTCCCCTTAGTTCATTTTACTCAATTTTCTGATTGCCAAGCCCCGCTTTATTTGAGGTTTGATGCATTTCACATGCACAGAAAGTCTCACTGGAGCTGGAAAGATATTCAGTTAATTGAATCTGCCTGACAGATGTGACACAGTGAGATAATGAATACACAGTTGACAGATGTCTACGCTATGTATATACACATATTAGAAATGAGGGACACATATTCCCTGCTATGGAAAACAGAGAGTGAGCTGCTCATTGGAGCTGAGCACAGAGTGGTTGCAGATCTGCTTTGTTTAAGATAATGGCACATTTTGAGCCTGTAGAAAATCTGGAGGAAGTTCCAGGCCACTGAATGAATGAATGAATGCTGTTAGATACCCACTGTTTTTGGCAAGTGTCTTCACTTCCCACTTTGGCCTTCATATTTCCCTGGCAGTGGCTCAGGCACTCACTGCACCCCTTCATGACGTGGCTGCTGCCCAAAGGGGAAGATGGTGCATCCCCATCACTGCTTTGTGCCTGCCCTGTATCCTCCCTGTATCCTGTATCCTCCCCAGCCACGGCTCTACCTCTCCGCATGCCCTTCCATGAGCAAATTCAGGACTTCCCAGGAGTATGCTCAGCAACCTGATTCATCTCACTAGTCAAGAAGAAAACAACCAGAAGGAAACCAAATCAAAATAAAAAAACACATTGCCTCCACTCATATCCAATCCCACACAGTCACAAGCACTAAGAACTGGAAGATACAGTGGAAAATAAAATTTATTGAACACGATATGGTCTGCAGGCAGACAGAGGTCATTTTGTCACTCTTATTCTGTGCCAGTGAGTCCTCATGGGGTGTTCTGCAATTAACTCTGGGGGCAACAGATAAGTATGAAGAGGGACTGGCAGGTATTATGATGGTGGCAACGTGATTTTGACTGACAAGTAAGGTAAACCCAGTATTTCAACACCATATTATTTTTGTGCAAATCCTAATGCTACAGGTACCAGGCTCAGGCAAGGACTGCAGATGAAGGTAGCATTTTAAAACATCACCAACAACATGGTAGGACCTCTACTAATTTCATCCAAATGTAAATGCTTAGATGCAAACCACCAGGGTGAGTATGATTATCCCAGCTCCTGGTAATGACTTCCCTACTTTATTTCTAAACAGTTGTATTTTGACTCCCACTGTGCAAAAATTATGTCCACAGACTGGCAGTCCATACCTCCTTTGGCTGTGCACCAGACTGGAATTTCCTCCAGGACTCTTTGCAGGACTCGATCCTAAGCCAGCTTATTGTGCCAATGTCAAAGGAATGAGAAACTTGGAGCTTCTCCTGAAGTGCTGATTGTTCAATTTAAATTGAAAACTGGAAAGAAATTCGATGTGAAAAAAGCCTCATTCAGGTCTTCATCCGCAGCAATCAAAGCTGTAGATTATGTGAACAGAGCTTGTGACGGGCTGGCCTCCTTTCTGTAGGCTTCATGAAGTGGATCTGACTTGATGCCATCCACGTCTCAGCGCTCCCAAGTGCTCCCAGCATCTACCAGCCTCAAGAGAATCAAAAGCTGCTTAACACCTTGCAGGACTACAACAGGGAACTGCCAACAAATGCACAACCCCCATCCAAGAAGATATTGGAGGTAAGAGGTTGCATGTTTCCTTTTTTCCCTTCATCCCAAGGTTTGCCATGGACCTTGCAGAAGCCCTGTAGAAAGAGCGGAAGATTCTGGGGCCATTAGCCATGTGTTTGAAAGGTCCCTGGTGAAGGTGAAGGCAGTGAGATGTAATGCAGTCACGGAGCAGCAAAGTTCTGAACTGGGACTTCAGGGACTTCTGAGTCATACAACTCTACTCATTCAGGGAGGCAGTTGCATATTCCACAAAACAAACAAACAAACAAACAAACAAACAAAAACAAACATCATTTTGTAAGAATATATGAATCTCAGCCTCCTTCACAATCCAGTCCTTCCAAACACCTGAACACCTGCCTGCTTTGGAAGCTGTGAATCCTAAGGAAAACCAACACTAACCAAAGGAGAGAGCTGTCACTGGGTGAGCGAGAAGTTCAGCAGGAATCCATGGACTTTACTGTCTTCCCATCTGGGCTGCAAGTGGAAGTTGGGGTCCCTATGAGAGGTGGGTGAGAAAAGCAGCTTGCCCTTGATAACCCTGCCTCTACCTGGTGTAGATTTCTTTTTGTTTCCTCCTTTTGCATCTGTGAGTTAGTGGGAGACATTGCTTTGTGGGTTTACTGTCTTAGAAGAGACCTCTCTATGGAACATTCCTGTGAGGCGTCATGTTAGCGGGAGTTAAATTGATGGTGGACCCACACTAACTAGGCATAGAGAAGTGGACAAGTATTTCACATTGTCATAGTAGGAACACAAGACTTAACATCAAGACAAAGTACTGAGGCACCTGTATCTGTATCCACACTTAGAGTCATATGCACATAGACATATATACATACGCACAGATAGACATATTTCTCTTCCAAAATGGATTAAACCCTTCATGTTTGAAAATTAAATCCCAACCTAGACATAATCTGAATTATGGATTATCAGTTATTAATGTCTTCAGCTGCCAACTTTACATAATGCACTAGGCCAATATGATAATTAAAAAGATACAGCTATATAAAATGAAATAGAAGCACAAGCAAACTGGCACACTCAGTTCAAATAACAGAAATGCTGAATAACCCCAGTCTGGATCTGCTTATTGAATCCCTGCATAACATCACTTTGTGTTGAAACAGCATCACAGAGTTATTCCATGAAAGTCAAGGAGTTTCCTCATACAACCCCAAAAGTCCAAGAGTCATATCAGGCACTTAAACACAGCAAACACAAGCAAGGTAATAATGATAGTAAAATGCACAGACACTGACTGCAGAGTCTAAAATGCTTTTAGATATGTTTTGAGGTAAGTAGAATGGAAAAATCTAAGCTTGCACTTCATATAACTGCTTTCAAAGCTTGGCAGCATCCAGAATTAACATTCTACAAAACTGAATTTTATTATCCTTTTCTCAAGTTAAAATTTGATGGTAAAATAATATTATATGTTAAAATTTATAGACATGTACTATAATAAAACCTACATGGACCTTTTCTATTGCATTTCTACAAGGGACTTCAGTCACGTTGCCATATGTAATAGTTTTTGTTTGGTTTTCTGTTTAATTGGCTAAGGATCATTTGGATTCTTTTATGAACAAAGGATTTGCACATAACAGTTCTGATTAAATGTTTGGTGAACATGTACACTGTTAGAATACTCACTGAGTATTAAAAGCTCTGTAATTAGGATTTTGCAGGTGATAAGCAGAGATGCCCTGGGGCTTTCTGGAAAAGTCAAATGATAGCAAAATATGGATGGATGACATTTTCTCTCTCAGAAGTGTCCCATTCTGTCAAGAACCTGAGTCTTAAAAAGGGCGAGTCTCACTCATCTCCTGATTGAATTTGACAGGCAATAGGTAATCAAGACACCAACGTCAAGAAGAAAAGAGTGAAATTGGCAGTAGACTGACTTCCAAAAAATGGGATACCACCCAGAAACTACCTGTAGTGGCTAACTGTATATGATGATTGGGCTTGGAGACACTCACTTCCAAAAAGCACACGTCCCCATCTGGTTTTGCACTTGCGGCACTGTAACTGCAGGTACCTTCCAGCTGTATTTCTTGGCAACCATTCAACTTGTCAACTGGAGGCTGTGCACCTAGTGCTTGGATCAATTAAAAATGCTGGCATGCTGTCAACTGCCAAATTTCTGTTGTCAGTTGTGAAAAATCCATCCAACCCCATCAGATTTTTTTTCCTATATTTATTTATTTATTTTCTTAATGTGCTACAGTAGCAGTGGGTAGGATGGAAGGAAGGGATATAGTTGAACAGCTACAACATCCTTCTTCCTCTCACAGTGCCTGCCTCCCAAGTACACACAGACTTTCTACAGTTTAGGGCTTCTTATATTTCAGATGAAATAACCAATTACAGAAATCACAGATCTATGAAAACAATAATTATCATTACAGTTTTGCTACTCAGAGTACACGTTTATATGCACTGATCACCCACTTCATGTATAATAACATAAAACACTCAAGTAGTTGATTGAGGGACACTAGTCCTAGATGAGCCAGATGCTGCTGGGCTTGCTGCTCTCACTGCCTGGGAGATGCCTGGAGCTAGCTGCCTACTTGGTCTATGCCGAATGGACTAAGGTATTTGTGGAAACACGATGAAATGACTTGGCTAATCGTCTTTGGCATGGAAACCTTTCAACAGTCTGAGCTAGACCTTTGACATGGTATGACAGATTTCCTTTCTATGTTCCAGAACCAACAGCAGGAGGCATAAGATTTAGCAGAGATTATGGATGAGAAGGAAAGACAAAAAAGGAATTTCATACAGTGTTCTGAAAATAAAGTGAGCAGTATGTAGAAATGGTCTTGCTATAAAAAATGTTAACAGCTCTGCTAAGCAGTATTCTCTTACCTAAAAAGATCATAGTATCTATTAATTCAGTGCATATGTCCTTCTTGCTCGGATATTATTATTGTTCCTTTCTGCTTCTCAGCTAACTTCCAAATTGTGCAAACAAAAAGACATGGAAAATATGTAGACAAGCTTTCACATCATACGTTATGTCAAATAACATCAGTCAGGTATACAAGACTAGCCAGGCATACTAGAAGTTATCACCACCTTAACTGGCAATTAATAACCATCTGCACGACACTTTCATTTTGAAGGCACTCTACAATCTATTTAATCCTCACATATCATAGAATCAATAAGATCAGAAAAGACCTTCCAGATCACCAAGTCCAACCACTAACCTGACCTACTGAGTCTCATCACCAAACCATGCACCTTAGTGCTGTGTTCACTCATTTCTTAAATATCTCCAGGAGTTGGAACCCCACCACTTCTCTGGGCAGCCCCTTCCAAGGCCTGACCACCCTCCTGGTGAAGGAATTCTTCTTAAATACAAGGTATCTTGTGTTACATAATAAGGTGGCTTCAAAGCAGAAATAAGGTGCCAGAGAAGAAGAAGAAAAAAAAAAAAAAAAAAAAAAAAAGCAAACAAAACAAACAAAAACACACAACGAAAATAAGGAGTATGGAAATTGCATGAAGAACAAAGAATTCACTCAAAAGTCAGAAAGAAATCCATGCAGCATTGAAGTTAAAACCCAGAGTTTCCTATAGATAGCCTCCATTACATTGATTTCCAAATACAAAATGCTGGTATATTACAGACAGTTGGACTATTGAAAGTTCAGCAAAATATACATAAACTCTTACCAGTACAGAAGTGAAAGATGCTTAAAATGACCAGAACTTCTTAACATTTAAAATTGTTCTTTCAACAATTCTTTCCTCCTGTTTTTCATTCAGCAGCTAAAAGAAAGTGAGTATATGGTACAGTGACAAGGATACTAGAATCACAGAATCATCTAGGTTGGAAGAGACCTCCAAGATCACCTAGTCCAACCTCTGACCTAACACTAATAAGTCCTCCACTAAACCATATCTCTAAGCTCTAATTCTAAACATCTTTCAAAGACCTCCAGGGATGGTGACTCAACCACTTCCCTGAAGGGCACATGATTTATGTCTCTCATCTGCAGGACCACCAAATGGCAAAAGTAGCTAAAGACTTCACTTTCCTTCAGAATTTTTGTGTGTCAAATCACATGCATAATCTCTATAAAGGGAAATTAAAGCATAAAAATTATAAAAAAAATCAACATTGTTCATGCAGAAAAATGCTAATGCTTCACCCTGTCAAACCAGCCGTCAGTGAATGGGACAACAAATCCCTGAAAATCTCTGGTAGAAAAACTATTCTCTGATAAGTTGCAATTTACCCAATTACTGCAATGTTTTTGAAGACAAAATACAGTATTTTAATTATAAATTTCTCAATGGAATGAATCAATTCCCTACAGACTGCAGTAAAGTGTAAAGAAATAAGCAACGGACATTTTTCTGGTTAGAAATAGCATTTATTGAAGCATTTCCTATGTTTAAGAGGAAAACCTTAAGGAATAATAATTTAATGAGAATATACATTATGGCTTATTTGTGTTGCTTAATGATATAAATAATTTAAATACTCTGAGATAAATGTGAATACACTTTTCGTTGCTCCAGCATCTTTTCATAGGAGACACTTGTCTCTTCCAAGTCAGCAAACCAATGAACACTGTGGTGTTGTGCAAGGAAAACTGGAAGAATGTCAGCTCTTTCTGAATATTATGACATCAAATGTGCACAGGAGCACCTACTGGCAATAAAGTCAACTAACACACAGCAGTCTGCATTTGCACTCCTGCCCTCTCCTAACCTCGAAAGCAACATAGCCCATATCAGACTGCCTACAGAGAGTGGCCCCTGGCCCAAGATGATTTCTGGGCCCTGCTCAGGAATTCTGGGAGAGCATTACTTGCCATAAATAACTGTCATAGACATTCCTAAGTATTTAACAGTACCACAAGCCATTTACAGTACCCAGGAATAATCCCTTGCACCATGTACTGGTAACCGTTCTCTTTCCTGCATAATCAGTATCTGAACTACTCACTCAGATCCTGAGATGTGATATTTATTCTAGAAGACATGACCATCAGTTTCAGATTGTTGTGGTTTAACCCGGCCGGAAGCTAAACACCACACAGCCATTCACTCACCCTCCCCCCCTCCCTCTCTGGGATAGGGGAGAGAAACGGGAAAGTGAAGCCTGTGAGTTGAGATAAAGACAGTTTATTAAGACAGGAAAATAATAACAACAATAATGATGATAATAGTACTACTACTAATAACATG